AGGGATCACGCCCAGCCCAGCTCTGGCGCCTCCATCAGCGCCACACGCCAGTGCTCTCCAGCATCCCCCAGAGGCTTGGATGAGCCATGGCCACCTCACCACGTGGGGCTGTGGGTCCGGGGCTCCTGTTTATGGTGGCAGGATTTGGAAAATGAGGTTTACAGCCATGAGTTTCCTTCCCGCCAGGAAGCAGCAGTCACAGAGCAGGAAAGCCCCATTCATTTAGTTGATGCTAATTTAGGAGGTGCAGGAACTCCGCAGAAAGTCACTTTTTCACCCAGAGGAGTTGGAAACAATTCCTTCTGCAGAGGGTTCCTATGACAGATGCTACCGTGGACCTCCCTTTGCAGAGCAGACCTGCTTCCAGAAACATGGGTGAGGGTCACGTTTTTAAAGGAGCATCTTCAAAATGCAATCAGAGACTCTCACCAGCCTATCTTGGAATGAATTGTCATTTTCTTAAAGCACGGCCTTTCGTATTTAGGAGTAAATGGAATTCGATAGAGAAGTCAATGCTTTTTCAGACTAACGATTTGGAAAATTAATTATTCTGCCAACAGGCTGGGTCTGGCTTCTGGGTCTAGCTGGGAGTTTTTGTTATGTCCCCACTGCCCTAATCCAAGGAATGGTTGTTCTCATGAAAGTTCTTTCTTTAGTAGATGCTCACTAGAATTACCTGTGCCTACTAACATCCCCAACCAAGGCATCCAGAGGTCACATAACTCAGGGAGCATCTGGACTGGCAGGATACCAAAGGACCTGAAGAAGTTAGGACAGTGGGGTGTTTGGAGAGAAAGCTCCTCCCCGAGAAAGGGACTGGGGTGGCTAGGGAAGGGGTTGGGACCCCACCAAAGGCACAAGGCTCCTGGGTAGGGCAGCAGTTCCAGGGGGAATGAGCACTGGGCAGCGAGGAGAGGGGGCTTGTCCTCCCAGCTAACAGACTCTCTTGTGAGTTATAAGAACTAAAACACTGTGGCATTGACACAGGGACAGAGGGAGATCAGTGGAACAGAGTGACATTAGGACACAGGCTCATATACATGTGGGGCTTGGAATATAAGTGTCATTTAAAATCACTGCAGAAAGAACAGATCATTCTACAAGGATTCAAAACAATTGGCGACTCATTAAAAACAGTTACCTCACACCATTCACCAAGATAAATTCTGGGTGAATTAATATAAAAATATAGGACCGTGTATTGATGGTGCTACTTTTCTAAGCCTTGGTTTTTTTTTTTTTTTTTTTTAAGATTTTTATTTGAGAGAGAGTGAGAAAGTTAGCAGGGGAAGGGGCAGAGGGAGAGAGAGAACCAGACTCCCCACTGAGCAGGGAGCCCGAGGACATGGGGCTTATTCCCAAGACCTGGAGATCATGATCTGAGCCGAAGGCAGATGTTTAACCGACCGAGCCTCCCAGGTCCCTTACGATGCTGCTTTTCTAAAAGTAGACATAGGAAGCAAAAACCAAAAGGGAAAAGACTGGTAAGTTTGACGATATCAGATACCCAAATGTAGGACAAAAGAGGCTTTATCCATAATTGCCATCATTCAGCACCGGAAAGCCATGAGGAGACATGGAGGAAACGTACATGCATATTGCTAACTGACAGACGTCGATCTGAGAAGGCTACACACCATACGATTCCAACTATATGACATTCTGGAAAAGGCAAAATGATGAAGACAGTAAAAAGATTGGTGGCTGCCAGGGCTTCAGGGAGGTGGGAGGGAGGGAGGGATGAGCAGGTGGAGAACAGGGGATTTTTTAAGGCCGTGAAATGAGTCGAAACAGTAATGGTGGACACATGTCACCAAAGATTGATCAAGATCCAAAAAAAAAAAAAAAAGATTGATCAAAATCTATAGAATGTACAACACAAAGAGAAAGCCCTAACGTAAACTAAGTTAATAGTTTAATTTAGTTAATACTGGATCAGTGTTGGTTTGTCAATGGTAGCAAATATACTACGCTAATGCCAGATATTAATCATACGGGAAACTGTGGGAGTGGTGACCAGGGGCACAGGGGAGCTCTCTGTAAGTTCCCCTCACTTTTTCTGGAAACCTAAAACGGCTCTAAAAACCAAAGTCTATTTATTAATTAAAAAACAAAAAGATGTTGCAGCACATGGGAAAAGGCAAGCAGTAGACTCTCGGTCTTCTATGCAACAGACAGGATTAGTATGCAGAATACATAAAGAATTCCTACCAATTGATATGGGAAAAAGTGTGTGTGTGTGTGTGTGTGTGTGTGTGTGTATATATATTATATTTTTTTTAATTGACAAAGGATACAGACAGGCACTGTAAGGACAGAGATAGGAATGGTCAACCAACACGTGAAGAACACCCAAGCTCACTAGGAACAAAGGAAACACAAAACTTTAAATGATGTTGAAGAGTCACTCTGCGTCATGCAAGGGGCACAGTATTTAATGTTTTGGAATCTGCAGCATCGGTGAAGTTTGGGGTAAGGACTCCCAGACAGCTGGCAGAAGCACAAGATGGAGCTACCACCCAAGAGAGCAATTCCCCAACATTGACTCAAATTTAAAATGCATAGGCTTCATGACCCAGCAATTCTTCTTATTCCTCTGCAGATATCCTTGCTTGTAAGCACAAAGACACTTACAGAAAAGCGTTCATTGCAGCACTGCTCATAGAGCAAAAACCTGGAAATAATATAACTGTCAATTGATTGGTTAAGTAAAACACGTTACTTCATTATTAAGGAATTGTATGCAGCAGTTCCAAAGAATAAGGTAGATCTATTACATACCTCTTGGCAAGTTCACCCAGGACTGTGTCAAGTAAAGAAAAATAAGATCGCCATATGGCTCACCATTCTTCTCCTCCTTCTAATAGACTGAGCCAGGGCAGAGAGGACCAAAGAGGATGCTGTGTTGGCTGTGACAGCCCGGGACAGTTCTGTGCCACCTTCCAGGACACAACTAAAAATGCAGTCTAGAATGTACCGGATTTTCTGACTTGAGGGCTCCCCGCAACAGTGACAGGTGTCCCCAAGGGGCTGGCCTAGGCTCAGAGAAGCAGGCAGCCACATTGCGTCTTTGGTCTCCCTTGGATCTGGGGTCCAGGGGCTAGAGCGTGACCCAGAGGTGTGCTGGAGCCTGTGGGCGTGAGGTCGGGAGCGTCAATGGCACAACCTCTGCTCTGCTCTGCTCTGCTTTCGGTGACGTCACATCGGTAGCTTGAGATCGGCCTTAGTGGGAGTCAATGCACCATGGAACTCGGCAAATGCTACAGATCAGGGCTTTTCTTTTCCCTCTGGAGAACCAGTTGTTCAACATTTATCTTCACACTATGGGAATGCAGGGTGGCCCTCTCCCTCCACTGCTCACTCTGAGTTCCAGGATGCAGAGCCCTGCTCCCTCTTTACTTCTGTCTCTGCTTAACCTCCTCCTCTCCTCCCTTTATCTCCATCTTTCCTCTTGCCTCCTCTTCAAGAAGAGGGAAGAGGGCGATCAGGTAACCAGGGGAGGACAAATGCACGCTGGGAAGCACGGGATAAGCCCTGGAGTTGAGGGCATTTGAATCTGGGCACCAGCCCCCAACAATGCCATCGACCCCCTTCGTAACCACGGACAGACTTTACCACTCCAGGCTTCTGTGTTCTCGCCTGTGAAATGGGAATAATCATACTCGGGGCTGCCATATACAGCCTTACAGGCGTGGTTCTGCTTCATCTCAAGGGAGGGACACGCACGTAGACTGCATCGTGAATGGACCCTATGGAGATGTACAGTGGGCAACCTGAACAATAGTACATAGTCCTGATCATGGTACTTCCTGATACTTAGAAGGTTGTTACAAAAAGGAAGAGGTAATAACACAGAGTGCTTGGCCCACAGCAGGTGCACAAGCGTGATTACTTTCCTTTCTTGTTATCTACCCCTTCTCTTCTCGACACTGTATCACTCTATCTTAGGGTTGGGTTCATGAGGGCTCCAGATGCCATGGTCCACACAGGGAAATGCCCCCAGGGTTGTAATAACTCTTCCAGCTATAACAAGGCCATGCCCCCGGGCACCGACATTGAAGCTGCCTTGCCCCATTCACCCACCTTTTGCCTTACCCGTCAGAGTCCTCATCTTAGGGTTCAAAGATCTGAACAAAGCTCAAAGAGTGAAGCTTTGCCCAACTCTACATGGAGAAAATGTGGGGGAAGGGGATTCCCACTCAGATCCGCGGGAATCCAGGTTTTCCCAGCCAGTGGGCTCAAAGATTTTTGACCCGTGAGCCACAGAAAAACATCTCATGTTTCATTCACCACACATATGGACATACGCATAGAACCAAAAAGATTCACAAAATAATATTCACTCTTGCTACGCTTGATGGTATTGGGTATGTCTATTCTATTCCATTCTTGTTGCCTTTCTTTCTTTCTTTCTTTTTTTTTTAACCGCTGGCAGTCAGTGAAGGTGATTTCATGACCCACTAGTCTAATGAGTCCAGACCTACAGTTTGAAAAATACCCTCTAGGCTGCTTCTCCCAAATGACCAAATGACCTTACAGTTTGCAGGCCTCAGTGAACTATAGTGCACGGGTGAAATCCGGCCCAGCGCTTGTTTTTGTAAATAAAGTTTTATTGGTACACAGCCATACTCATCCATGTATTTATTGTCTATGGCTCTTTTGTGCTACAGCAGTGGAGAAGTGGTTGCTACATACACCGCGTGGATTCCAGAGCCTTAAATATCTATATTATCTGGTACTTAACAGAAAAAGTGTGTCCACCTATGCCCACAGCTAACTCTGGGTCTCCCTTGTTTAATTTCCCCAGGCCTGCCTTTGCCCTCTCACTCAAGCTCAAGCTCCTTGGCTGGCTGAGAAAACCACCCCCCTCTTGCTTCCTGCTCCAGTCCTGCCGACGGCCCTTCTTCTTCCAGGGTGTCCCCCAATACTAAGAGGTCCATGGGACAATGGGGACAGAGCCCCACCTGGCCTCCTGACGCCTTGTTCTGCTCCCCCCACAGGCCTCCTGGGAATGGTAGCCCACATGATGTACACACAAGTATTCCAGGTCACTGTGAGTCTTGGCCCTGAAGACTGGAGACCCCACTCCTGGGACTACGGGTGGTCCTTCTGGTAAGTGGCTTTGACCTTCAGCCTTGCTGGGACTTCAGCAGCTTGGCCCAGCTTGGGGGAGAAAAGCAGAAGAGGGCAAAGGTAGCTAGCCGGGAGTCCAAAGGCACTTTGAGACCCTACAGCTGGGGTTGCAAACTATGACCCATGGGCTAAATCAGGCCCACAACCTGTTTTACACAGCCTTTGGCTTAAGGATGGTTTTTACATGCAAGATGCTGGAAAATAAATAAAAAGGATAACATCTTGTGGCCTGTGAAAATTACACGAAATTCAAATTTCAGTGTCCGTCAATCAAGTTTTACTGGGACAGAGCCACACTTAACATTTATGTGTTGTCTGGCTGCTTTCCCGCTACAACAACGGGGTTGTGGTTGCTACCGACGCTCAGTGGCCCGCAAGGCCTGAAATATTTACTACCTGGCCCTCTACAGAGAAAGTTTGCTGACCCTGCCACGCAGGCCGCTCTGGGAAGGTGGAGATGGAAGCTGGCAAGTGGCGGAGGCCCTGGGAGGTCTGATAAGCTAGGTGTGCCAAAGAAAGACAGGATCAGCGATAGACTCCTGTGTATACGTAAACACAGAATGTGTATTAGAGAAAAGTCTGGGAGGAACAGTTAAAGTGCCTTGTGTTGTAATAGAAAAATCTACTCCAGGCAATATGGAAATACATTGGTTCCTGTAAGTGGAAGGTGCATCTGTGTTATGGACTTCAGGGTGCTTTCCATCCAGAGTCTCTGACATCATCAGGACTGACTGCTCTTCCTCTGTGATTGTCTGCACATGTTAACCCTGTCCCTGGGTGGGCTTCCCTTCTGGTGGTGAGAAAGCCGTTCCTGAGGCTGGTGCTTCTTCCTCCACATACATTCCCCAACATTGACTAAAGTCCCAAGCCTTTCCCCAACATTGACTAAAGTCCCAAGCCTCCCTCTGATGGGCCCAATTTAGGTCATTTCCTCTCTCTTGAATCATCACTGCAGCTGAGGGAATGTCATGACTTTATTGGCTCTGCTTGCCCACACTCACCTCTGGAGTGAGGAATAAACCGAAAACTTGCAAATGGTGAGTGGGTAGAATGGATGCTGGGTGAGCTACCAGACACTACCAGAAGAGTCTGCTTCAGGCACAGCTGGATCCAGGTGACCAGATGAATCATCAGAAGTTTAGACAGTCTCCCCTCCCCATTTTCCTATCTCTGTTCCCTTTGTGTTGGTTGGCTTCATTCACAAGCAGCTTTTCCCTAAGCAAGATTTTCCCTAAGCAAACTCATCAAACCCAGCTCTAGGCTTACATTTTACAAATGTGGGAACACCAGCAGAGAGATGGGGCTTCTTTCCAGGATTTCCAGCCAACATCCTGGTAATGGCTTTCACTGGATTAGCTTAAGTCATGTGTCCATCCCAGGACCAGTGATTTAGACCGCAAGGAGACTGGGCTGCTCCAATTGGTCTGGCTCCAGTCACAAGGTCAAGGAGGAGGGATTGACCCCACCCAAATCGTTGGTCAAAGAGAGGAGGAAGAGCGTCCCCTAAGGGAAAGTTGGGGGTGGGGTGGGGTTATCAGATGGGATGCATGCTGGAAAGACAGTGACCACACATGTCCAGGGTCTGCAGATCTGGATCATTCTGGTGGTTGGGGACCATTTATCTACTTAGTCATTTTACAGGCGCTTACCACATGCTTACTTGGGGGCAGCCACTCTCCTAGGTACTGGGGGTACAGCAGTGGTCAAGACACTGTTGTAACAGGCAATGGAGACAAGAAAATAAGCTATCCTGTGGATGTTGGGGTGGGGGCAGTTCACAGACCGCTGTGGGATCACGGAGGAGGGCTTGCAGACCCAGCTCCAGGCAGGGAGGGTCCTCTGGAGAAACGGTCAGGCAGGCTAGTGGAGGAGGGGATAAGCTAGTGTGCTGGGCAGGGGGGACAGCAGGTACAGAGACTTTGGAGGAAGGTGGTCAGAGTGGAGCAGGAAGAGCTCCAAGTCAGAAAGAACCCCTTTCAGACCTGTGGGGACTGCTGCTGATTTGCGCCCCTCCCACTCTGCTGGGCTCTGTCCCCTGCAAAGACATGTGCCTTAAAGGGACCTGGACCGTCCAACACCACCCCTGATCCCTTGAAGTGGAAGGACCGCAGGGAAACCAGCTAAGGCTCTGGCTCCCTTTCACCCAATGCTTCCCTCCCTCTGGCCATTCTTGCCCGAGCTCTTGACCTTGGAAGCTGGTCATCTGAACTAGAGAAGGGACAAAGGAAAAGGATGAACGTTTTTGAGTGTTGAGCACGTGTGTAATAGTCTCTGCCATGTACCGGGCCCTGGTATATCATCATTCTAACAAAGTTCTGGGTTGTGTACTTTGTGGAGAGGAAACTGAGCCACAGGGAACTTAAGTCACCTCTCCAGGCCAGCTGGTGCTGAGTGGCAGAACTGGGATCTGAACGCAGGTGGCCTGGCCTTGGAGCCCACACCTTCAACCTCTGTATTCTGCCTCTCTGAGAATGGGATTATACAAAGACGGTTTATAGACAGGCTTAGCACCCTGTTTCACACACTGCAAGTGCTCTTCTTTAAAAGTGTTTACCAACCCTTTTTTAAAAAAAAGATTTTATTTGTTTAGAAAGCACACAAATAGGGGGAAGGGCAGAGAAAGAGGGAGAGAGAGAATCTCAAGCAGACTCATGCTGAGCATGAGTGTGGAGCCCAGTGTGGGGCTTGATCTCATGAACCTGAGATCATGACCTGAGCCGCAATCAAGAGTCCGGTCCTTAAAAGACGGAGCCACCCAGACGCCCCAGACACCAGCCCTTCTAATATCACTGTTATTGATATGAAATTAACATATACAAAACCCGCATTTTGCGTGTAGAGAAACCAGGGCTCAGAAAGGTTGGGTCACTCACCCAGGGTCCCACAGCCTTCAGTGGTAATAGGATTCTGAGCCCCTCCTCCCACAGGTCTCTCTAGAAGCTTCTAGCTCTCCATCCTGGCACTTAGCATCTAAAACCCAGCCTGCTGCGTCAGCCACGGGAACCTTTCTTTCCCTGAAAGCCGGGCCTCCTGCCCTGCTCCTCTCCTCCCTTGGGGCTGGCCTCATTCTCATTTGACTTATTTAAGGCCGGGGCCCAACGTGCGGCCCCTATTAGGGCTGATCCATTTCTTCTTGTCACCGAGGCCTGCAAGATGGATCAGCCCCATTTTTCATCCCTTACTTTTGGGGCCTCGCCAAGGCTGTGCAGTGTCATTTCTCTTGTTTAATATGTGTGAGGCCATTTGTCAAAATTCTGGTCCCTGCCCCCCCCACCCCACCCCCACCCCAGGCACCAGAGAGGAGACCATCTCGGACGCCAGACAGCTCCGGCCTCTGTCTCCCCACCCAGCAGAGCAAGATAGGCCTCGGGGGCTTGGCAGGCGGGGGATGGGAGATGCTCAGCTGATGTTGGGCACCAGCTTCTGGGAGAGACACCTGCACAGGGAGGGGAAGGCTCCTTGTTTGGGAATCAGACAGCTTGGTTCAAACCTTACGCTGCCATGCACGGCCGGACCCCTGCAGGCAGACAGTGTGGAGGCGTGATCGAGGCCAGAGGAATCAGAGAGCATGGGAGCAGACCCCCCACTCTGACCCTCACCAGCTGTGGACTCGCGCCAGGTCACTCAGCCTCCCCATGCCTCAGTATCCTCATCTGTAAAATGGGGCTGGCCTGAGTTTCTCCTTGTGGGGCCCTTGCAAGTAGCGTGTCCTTTATCTCTTCATTTAGACACATGACCCTAACATAAAAATGGGTTCTTGTTTCTTATGGTTTAGTGGGTTTACCGGGCTTAGCTAGGTCATCCTTGCTCAGGGTCTCGCATGACACTCCAGTGGGTCGCTGGCCACGATGACATCATCTGGGGCATGGCCATGCAGGGCGTCCAAGCTGGCCCCTCTCAGCACCGGTCGTGGGGGCCGGCTGGGGACTGGGGGCTCAGCTAGGCTGTCGGCGGGCATGGCTTCTTGTGGGGAGCAAGCATTCCAAGAGATCTGAGCAGACGCTACAAGTTTATTTTATGACCTTGCCTCGGAAGTCACACTGTCACTTCTGGTGCATTCTCTTGGTCAAGAGCTAATGATGGGCCCAGATTCAAGGCGAAGGGGCCTCGAAAAGCATGAACCTTAGGAGGTGAGGCTCCAGGCAGGGGCATCTCGGGAGGAGCTATGACGAGGACCGGGTGGAACAGGGCAGTGTGGTGCTTAGCACAGAGGTTATGCTCCATGAATGCTGCTGTTAGAGGGAAGCAGCCCGCCTCTCAGTGTATCCAGCTCTGGAGTGGATAATAGTAATGTGTGTTTCATAGGGTTGTTGGAGGGACTACGTGGGACCAAGCTCTTAAAGCGCTTGGTACACAGCGAGTGCTCCTAAGTGGCGGTGATTCTAAGTGGTGACGATGACATTGAGCCTTTGCTAATGCTGCTCTCACTTGCTGGGAGGCACATGCCCCGAATGTCCACACAGGGACACCCTGTGGGCGTGCAGGCAGCCCCTTGCCGTCTGTGCCCTGGGCTCCAACTGCCCCGGGGGGGTGCCCTCCAGTCCCTTTGGCCCTAAGCCTCGGAACCCCATCCGAGGCCCCTCCCCACCTCCTGCCTGGCTTTTTTTTCCTTCCCCAGCTCTGTGTCTCAGATCCCCAAGCTGTCTGGTCCTGCCGTGCTGACTCCCACAGACGGGTTACCAGGCCCAGTTCAGGGACTAGGACACGGTCTCAGAGAGAGCAAAGGCCCAGATCGCCCAGTGAGCCCAGGGGCTGCAAACTGCTCGCAGCCCGGGGCTGAGCCCAGCCTCTAAATGTTTTGTGTCGCCTGTCACAGTGTTAGATAAGAGATGGATTCAGGCGACTTGGTGGCTCAGTTGGTTAAGCATCTGCCTTTGGCTCCGATCACAGTCCCAAGGTCCTGGAATCAAGGACCACACTGGGCTCCCTGCTCAGTGGGGATCTGCTTCTCCCTCCCCCTGTCCCCCTGCTCGTGCTCG